CATAAATTAATAAAAGCTAAACATTGTAGGCACCCTTGTGAGTCTTGGTTCACATCTAGGCGATTGAGCTGGTGAGCTGTTTTCACGCGTTCGCCGCACGTTTTTGTTTGTGCGATTTTACTTTGAAAAATGCATAGTGATGTCTATGGCACTCAAACCGTGCGACAATCGTCCGAAAATAGCTCCTGCACCTTTTAACGCGACAGGCGATTTCTACTGCGTGACAAATCACAAAGGTGGGAGCAGCTTCCATAGACTTGGATGCAAATCTATGTTTTATGCGATATTGCGCAACTAAATCCGCGTGATAAATCGTCTGGTGCGGATTGCCGCGCGGTCAGAATTCGCCGAGGTGTGAACCGATCGCGCTGTGGGTGCCATTATTTTCTAATGGCACCCCAGTCGTGCCATGTGGATTGCACAGTTTCCTGCCGCAATTCCGCCCGTGCTTCCGAACACGAAAAACTGCCGCGTTGTGTACCTTTTTGCTGCGATTGCCGCACAGATGTCACCCCATTGAAATCAATGGGGCCACGAGGCCATCGCTGCCTGCATTGAATCGGAACCGGATCGTGGAAGTCTGCACCGGGCCTGAGTGTTAAAAGGTTTGTCTTTTTTTCTGGACAGTTTGGGCTGGTAAAGGAGGATGAAGAAAGAGCATTGTATATTGGGTTAAAAAAAAAAAAAGTCTTGCTAGTGGTCTCAAACGTTTTTTAGGAATGTGATGATTATAGGCTGTATTGTAGAGTTTTCGAAAACACCCAAAATTTTGTCAGCAGCTGGCTCGTTGGTCTAGGGGTATGATTCTCGCTTAGGGTGCGAGAGGTCCCGGGTTCAAATCCCGGACGAGCCCAATTTTAGCAAATGCAGCATATGGCTTAAAGTAATTCTGCCATAACTTTGGGAGGTGAAGAAGGCTGCAGCCATAACTTTGGGAGGTGAAGAAGAAGGCTCCAGCCATAACTTTGGGAGGTGAAGAAGGCTCCAGCCATAACTTTGGGAGGCGAAGAAGAAGGCTCCTGCCATAACTTTGGGAGGTGAAGTAGTAGGGTCCAGCCATAACTTTGGGAGGTGAAGAAGGCTCCTGCCATAACTTTGGGAGGTGAAGAAGAAGGGTCCAGCCATAACTTTGGGAGGTGAAGAAGGGTTACACCCTCTTCTGGGTTTTTAATGCAAAATGAGTCTCAGCTAAAGAGATTTATCCTTTAAAGGTGAACTATGAGGTGAGTGCTTTTCACTCAGCTCATAGTTCTAGCCGACCTGTGACAATGAGACTGTCACAGGTCGGCACAGTAGATCGGGAGGTGAGCGAACATATACCGGCGTTCGCTCACCTCTCCATCCTGTCACGGCTCTCTGCCGTAACAGGGGAGGGGCTTGATTCCCCCCTCCCCGATCCGCCAGCGCTGACTGGCGGAACGGTTGTGGGAGGGGCGGGTACAGCTGGCTCTGCCTGTAGATAGGCAGAGCCAGCTGTCACTCACGCAGCTGGGCGGATCTCGACATCGATGTCGGGATCCGCTCCGGCGTCTCAGTATACCGCGAGCTGTAGCTCGCGGTATACTGAGCTTAGGGTAACGGGAGGACGCTAGTTTGTGTCCTCCCATTACACTAAGGAGAACTATGGGGAAAAGCCCTGACCCCATAGTTCTCCTTCAATCCCCTGCCAAGAAGACACAGCGGGAGATACTAAAAACTCTCTGCAGTGAGAAAACGTCCTCCACATGCTTTGTGTACCTGAAGGCAGCAGACGACTTCATATATGGCTCGTTGGTCTAGGGGTATGATTCTCGCTTTGGGTGCGAGAGGTCCCGGGTTCAAATCCCGGACGAGCCCAATTTTAGCACATGTAGCATATTGCTTAAAGTAATTCTGCCATTGAAACTTTCAAAACATTGTTGCCCTTGTTGCAGGAAGGAGACATGATTGGTATAGTAATGAATGAAAAACACATGTTAGGAAACCTGTAGAGTAGGGATAAGCAAAGCTAGCCGTCCAGCTGCGGTGAAACTACAAATCCCAGCATGCATCTGTCCTCTTGTGGCTGTCAGAGTCTTGCAAAGCCTAGTGGGATTTGTAGTTGCAAGAGAGCTGGGGGGGGGGAATTTGCCTACCCCTGCTATAGTCTCACATTCTCAGTCCCCATGCTGCAATCATTGATGCAATTTGTCCTGTAGTGACGCAGAGGCTGCTGGGAGGAAAATCAAATATTGGCACTCCTGGAAGTGTGAGATTTTGCAGAATCTTCAGCCAGTGGAAGAATGCATAAAGTTTTCTGGTGTCAAACACAATTGTACAGAAAATAAAGGAGAGAGCCGCCACTACAAGCTTTTACTAGCAAAAGTCAAGTGTTTGAGGCATTCTATCTGCAGCATTATTGACGTTCACCATTATCACCTTTTACACCAACTGGCTGCAGATCTTGTTGAGTTTGGGGTACTACACATTTTGCATGCATGTCTTTTAAATGTCAAGATTAAAGCTGCATACCTAGGTGAAAAATCCCTCAACTTGCAGTAGGTCCCCCTCTGGACTGCAAGGGTTAACTGATTGTTTTGCACAGGGGATGATGAATATAATAATATACTTAAAGAAGAACTCTGAGAAAATCAAAAACTTACCCTTGCAGTGGCCTACCCCCGCACTGCAAAGGTTAAGTACTGGTTTTATCTAGGGGGCTCCAATAAAGCGGATCTACTCACTTGATCCTCGGTCCTGTTCACCTCTCTCTCCCTCTGCTCTGGCTATAGAATGTCCTTCAGCGACCTCACGACCTACATTAGACATAATGACATCAGCGGTCCCTAGACAGACGGAGTGAAGGGGAGAAGAGGCTGTGGGGACCTCCTAGACAAAGGGAGCACTTAACCCTTGCACTGCAGCGGTAACCCCACTGCAAGGTTACGTTTTTGATGTTCTGAGAGTGTTTCCTTAACTTATTCGTCACTCCTCCAACAGCCAACTTATTCCTCCACTGTCTGATGGGCTCTTGGCAACCTCACATACAATGCAGGACAGTGTCAGAGAGCTGAGACCAGTAGGGCACCAGTCATACAGCAATGAGGAAGCTTGTGGAAGCGTAGACTAAAGGTGCCCATACACTGCTCGATTCTCGTACGAGAATCGCGGGAAATCAGGGAGCAGTGTGAACGAAGACGTGCGACCGGTCGCACGTCTTTTGTCGAACCAGCATGTTCAAAAACCCGCCGAGAATCGTACGATTGTCGGCGGGTTTCTAACCTGCTCGTTCGATAGCTGTGGAACGGGCCGGTGTGCGCACACGCACACTGCCCGTTCTGCATTGCGGTCATCGGAAGCCCGCCCCTCAGCGGGGCGGGCTTTCGATGATCGCAAGTACGATCTGCCCATCCAAGGTGGGCAGATCGTACGAGCTTTCAATAAGCATACGACCATCGCAAGACAAAAGTCTTGCGATGGTCGTAAGGACTATGGGCACCTTAAGGGTGGACATACACTGCTCTATTTTTCTTGTTCAACCCGTGGGCTGAATGAAACTAAAATAGAGCTGACTCCCCCATCAACTGAGTCGATTGAGGAATCCCCGCGGTTTACATTGTATTCTGACAGCGGCCGCCAGCTCATTGGCTGCTGACTCTGGTCATGCTAAGATTTTCCGACCGGCTCCTTCAATCCTCAAGAACCAGTCGAAATATCGCACAGTGCATGGGCTCCTTAAAGCCTTGTTCACACCAAGCGCGTTCCTGGAGCAGAGCAGTTACAGACCGGAGCAAAACTGCATCCAATGTATTCCAATGGTATTTTTAACTCCAGTTCACATCGCAGCGTTCAGTTCCAGAGCAGGTCCAGAGCAGGTAAAAAAACCTGCAGCAAGCCCTATTTTTTCTGCTCTGGAACACTCTGGAACGCATGCAAACGCATAAAAAATGCACGCTGACGCCCTGGAACGCACTGAAAGCCCATTTTAAACAAAAAAATATATATATATTTTTTTAAAACCAAAAACGCGGCACAACCCACTGCACTGCCTGTGCAGAAACTCATGCAGATCTGCCCTGCACTTGGTGTGAACAAGGCCTGACGTGAGGTCTCTAGGCAAAATCAGCAGTTAACCCTTGCAATGTGGAAAATAATCCATTACAAAGGCAATGTTTTTTTTCCCCCTGGGGTTCAGCTTTAAGCCTCACCATGCCCTTGAACTCAAATGGCAGAACCTCAGCAGGTAGTAAAGGCTTAAAGAGACACTGAACTCGAGGGTAAAATGAAAGCAAATACATTCAAGTACCTTAACTGTTAACAAAAATGTAGATCCTCAAATCATCTCTGAATCGGTGCGGACACTGCCCTTCCTTCTGGAGGGTGGCTACTTTTGTTCCCCATGGTCCCTGTGTGTGTTGTATAGTAGCCACCGCTCCAAGCTCACTCGTGTGATGGACTACAATCTCATGTTTAGTTTACTTTACCAAAAAAGTAAAAAAATAAATAAAAAATGGGGTCCTCCAGAAAATCACATACCAGACCCTTAATCCAGGCCTGGCAGGAAAGGGGGGGGAGGGGCAGCGAGTGCCCCCGCATCCCCACCACATGCATTGCACTGGGAGAGTGCTTTTCCAGGGGAGACCCCCTTGTGTAACGCTATGATGTGAACGGGCCCTTCCAGTGTATCTGTTTTGAATAAAGACTGTCTCAATTTTATTTTCATCAGTCCAATAAGGGAGATTTCACTTGATTTCCTGTCTTTTGTCTTCCTGGACACAACAGGAAGTGAGAGGCTGGCCCTCCAAAGTAAGGGAAGTACCCTCACAGACACTTATCACCAAAACAAGTATCCATATTGCAACTATGAAATCCTGGGAAGGGTTCCATGCCTTTCCTAGCTTTCCAAAGCTACAACGGAAAATTATATACACAGTATATCTCTTTAACAGGCGGAGCTCACCATTGACTGGCACCAACTTCCTGTTCAGGGTAGCAGCGCAACACCGTATTGCACGAGCGCACCCTAGCGGCCCAGAGTACAATAACAGCCCGCAGATACAGGGCGGATCCAGTGTCTATGGCAACACAGGGGTATACTGGGCAGTGAGTGGGCTGGGAAGGGGACACGGAGAGATATGGAGGAGCCGGAGAGCCCTAGAGGTAGCCGCCTGCCATGGGAGTGCTTCTCCGCCTGGCTGGATGGGGTGTGCGTAGTTACCTTCGATCTGGAGTTGGGGCAGGCGATGGAGGTGAGGACATCAGTGGAAGGAGGAACGGTGATTTCATGGGGAGGGACAGATGCAGGGCCGGAGGGTGATGTGATTGCACCGGAAGACGTTATGATGACAGATAAACAAAGATGTGATGACAGTGAGGGGGAGATCGGAGATCACCCCCAGGCATGGGAAGGGATAACACCCCAATTACCAGGACTGTTGGGGGGTTCCAGGCTGTCAGATTCTGCATTAACTCTCATGTGTTTTCTCTTATTTCCAGCTGGTTTATCCACATAACACCCGGATCACAGAGAAAGAGGTAACCTATGCACCAACCATGTCACCTAATGAGAGCAGATAACATGACAGCTCTCTTTTCACACTTCTCCATCATTCGCTCTAAAGCCCATTTAGAGCTATGCATGTGCGTCGAGGGCAATGTAGACTTGGGAAGATGTGTTATCATGCGTAAACGTCTTTCCTTTGTGGCACAATGTAAATGCATGTTGATGCGTGACAACACAGACATCTTGCTGAAGCGTGTTGACATGCATTTCCAATGTGTTTTTCTAGGAAGAACTCGGGGCACATGTTTGATAAACCCTTGCAGTGGGGCTATCTCTGCACGGCAAGGGTTAACTACTCGTTTTCGTCTAGGGAGGAATATAAAAAATGTTACACTCACCCGATCCTTGGAGCCGGCTTGTTCTTAGACTGGTGCTTTCAGCCTCTCTCCTACTGTGCTGCAGAAGTCTAAGGTCCCTGAGTCATCACGTTTGGACATGATGACGCCCAGGGACATTACATCACTGCAGCGCCGAAGCAGACAGGCAGAAGTAAGCGCTGTGACAGCTGGCCGGCTCCGAGGATTAGGTGAGTATAACTTTGTTATTTTCATCCCTAGACCGTAACAAGCACTTAACCCTTGTTGTGAGGAGGAAGCACCACTGCAAGGATTAGTACATTTCCCCCGGAATTCTTTCAAATTGGTATTTGAAGTGGATACAGTTAACAGCCATTAACCACGGATTTTTTTAATACCTGTTACCAATGCAGGAAAATGCATGTTGCATATGTTTGATGCATTGCTATTGATTCCTGCGGGCCTCCCAACGCATTAACACGCAGAAAACATATATACATTTTTAAAAAATGCATTGCAGTGCTGATATGGGAACATACACCGGGCCATTCTCTCTCACTTCCTGATTGCTAAGGGGAGAGAGAGAAGTGCAGGCAGCAGAACAGCACAAAGCTGCCTGCTCCCTCTGGTGAGTGTCCATCCCGTCACTCACACAGGGAACCTGCTGGCTGTCTCCTCTCTCAACTAGGCAGAGAGAGGAATCAGGGGGGAATTTATCAAAACGGGAGCAGACAGAATCTGGAGCAGTTGCACATACTTACCAATCAGCTTCTATCCTCAGTTTGTTCAGTGAGGCTTTGAAAATGAAAGATAGAAGCTGATTGGTTGGCTTGGGCATCCGCTCCAGATTTTGTCTATTGTGATAAATTCCCCCTCTCAGTAAAGATGGTTAGCAGAGATGTGAAGGTCTGCTCCTGGTTGTACCAGGCGCAGATCTGCTGCTAATATCTGCTCTATGTTTTAGCACAGATATTAGTTTTTAGGGAGCTGAAACGGTGACAAATGCATTTTTTCCCCCCTCATTTGGCACATCATTGTTAACATAGGCGCACTATGATGATGATTTTTTGCATGCTGAGCACGCATTACATGTGCGGCAAAAAAAAAAGTTAAAAACAATGGTTTATTGGGCCTGTTCTCTTTATGATGGAAAAGCAGAACATGTGTTTTAGGCCCTGTTCACACCAAGGCTTTTGGCACGCGTATTTTTTTGCACTGAAAAACACCAAACAAGAAATCCCATTTTATTTCTATAGCCCACGGTCACATGTGAACGTAGTGTCGCGCGTAGAAAAACGCCCATAACTGGAAAAGGTACATGAGCTTTTTTTTTTGGCCAGATCAGCACGATTTGTCCCCATAGAATCCATAGGAAACTCTCTTGAAAACGCGCATTGCAATTGTTTTTGTGCGCATTTGCACGCATTTTGCCCATTCACATGAATGTGACAAATCTGCTCATAAAAATGCGCGACTTTACATACGCGCGTAAACCGCATTAGGGCTGCAACAACTAATCGACATAATCGATTATAATCGATTATTGAAAAAGTTGTCAACTTTTTCAATCATCGATTAGTCGGTTTCTGATTGGTTGGCCCTGTTCACGGCTCCACACACACTGCGCGCCACACTTCCTCCCCACCTCACGCTCGCCGCTGCCAGGCCCGCCCACCCGCATTCACGTTCCACACGCCGCACCTCCTCACGATCACCCCCCGCCCACATCCTCGATTGGCACAGGGACGCGGGGAGAAGAAGTAAGGAGGAGCAGGTGTAGGGCGATGACAGCCGCCGATAGACAGGCCCGATCTCAGAAACAAGTTGCTGGAAGGCTGCTCAGGTAGGACTACAAAACCCAGCAATAGTACATTATACAGCGCAATGCAGAATACAACCAGCTATAGGAGGACTACAAAACCCAGCAATAGTACATTATACAGCGCAATGCAGAATCCCGCCAGCTATAATGTACTATTCTGCATTCATTTCTGCATAATTTTACACTTTCCATTTCACTATATTGCACACCACACTTTTTTTTATTTTTCACTTCCACCGCTCCAAGCTTGCTCCTGTGATGGACTGCAATCTCAATACAAACTAGTAGTCCCATCACAGGAGCCATTTTTAAAAATGTATATTACTTTTTATCCGATTAATCGAACTTAATAATCGGCTAACTAATCGATTTTGAAAATAATCGTTAGCTGCAGCTCTAAACCGCATGCACAAATGTGCAAAAACGCGCGGAATCCGCACTGACACGATGTCGCCTTTGTGTGAACGGAGGGCTTAGCGCTTCAAAATGTGTGCGTTAAAATCCAACAGTGTAAATGGGACTTGAGGATATTTGTACCCAGAAAAACCCCGTAAATATGCCTCATTCCTTTCCTTCTAGAGCAGTGGTTCTCAACCTGTGGGTTGCGACCACTTCGGGGTTTGAATGACAATTTGCCAGGGGTCGCTGGGAGTCTCCAACTATTAGATAGCTATTAGATTATCATCATTATTATTAATAATAAAAGCTGACCCCCTCGGCTTGTGTTATATGGTTTGCCATTTTAGCTGTTACAACAGTGGTTCTCAACCTGTGGGTCGCTGTGTGATTTCTGCTGTGCTAGGTGAGAGTCCTCCTCAGCCTTCTCCTAGCGCAGCAGTGTCAGTTCTCCCGCCACGCCACCAGATGTCGCTGCAGCAGCCGCGTCATCCCTAAATTTTACCTTTGGGGGTCACCACAACTTGGCAAATGTTACCAAGGGGTCCCGGCCCTAGAAAGGTTGAGAACCACTGTTCTAGAGAGTAGTAGATGCTTGTTGTCCAGCTATCTTTCAGTTCTGTCCTGCATGCTTCCAAATTGTATTACAATCTCATGTGTTTTCTCTTTCTTTCTACTTTCTTTCCTTCCTTGCAGAAAACTAGCATTTGCTACCTGTCCTTTCCAGACTCCTATTCAGGTAGGCAGATTATATGTGGAGGGACATTTAGCACGCCAGAGGTTTCTGATGCCCTATGTGAGGGGTGGGCAAATTCCAAGCCACCACCCAGGTGTGGAAATACACGTCCCATGAGGCATTGCACAATTCTGACTGCCACAGGCACGGCTTCTAGAGACAGATACATCATGGGATTTGTAGTTTAATCACAGCTGGAAAGTTGGAGCTTGTCCACCCCTGCCCTACAATATGAGGAATATAGAACACAAAGCAAGTTTTTTTTTTTTTTTTGTGTGGGTACTACCACATAATCTGTGTTTTGTGGTATATATAGGTGTATTTATAAAGCGTTTGCAGTGCCATTACCTTTTATATGTGCAGCACATTATGGGCACTACCGTAGATGCAGCTGAGGAGCACAGGAATTTCCTATGCTGCTGGACGCCATCTAGTGGTCATTATGCGGTATGAATGTAAAAGTCAGATCTCCACAGTTTAGGAATGAACAGAAACACTCAGTATAGAGGATTCCCTTTCATTTATAACAGGGGCTGCAGAAAAAAATATTTTATTATTAGCTTTGGCCTGAGTTTTTGGTTTAAACATTTTCATTACGGGGGACCTCTAGGATGTCTCCATAAAGAGGACCTGTCACTTGTTCTGTGCTATCAACATAGGGGGGCTTGTTCACATTAAAGTGAAATATATATATCCCTCCAGCCCCATGTACACATACATACAAAAGCAAGCATGCATAAACTTTAGTGTATTTTTTCCTATAAAGATAGACCAGGGCTGGAAAAATCTCAGGAGCCAGGTAGGTAATGCTCTTTTTTTGAAATGACAGCAACTTTTGATGTTTTTTTTTTAGTTGTTGTCAATGGAGCTGGCTCCTAAAAGAAATACTGCTGGATCTGGATTGGACAGACTGGCTCCTGAATTCTATATTGATTTGTCCACCCCTGTGATAGACATTTGCATAGCTATTGTGCCAAACCGCTATAGTATATAAACAGTTCAATTACATGTATGCAAGTTGTTTCACTTACCAAAATACTGGAAAGTCTGTTCAGCCACTCTTAATTCCCCTGTCACAGTTTACAGCCTGGATGGTGACATCTCTATAAACTACTGCAGTATTGCAGATTCCTGTACTACTTGGCTGTGTTCTTCTGATTCTTTTCTTCCTGTCAATGTAAATACATCCTTCTAGAGTGCCTGAAGACATTTTAGTTTGACATGTCTGTGTGCAATATAAAACTTAATCCTCCTGTCCCATTGCACTCCTGACCGGACAAAAACCCAAATCCAATGCTGTTTATTGACTGAGATAACACACATCTCCTTAGTGACGTTTCGAGACCATGCGGTCCCGTCCTCAGAGAGAAAGTGACAACCTCATTGTTGTACAGTGTACATTCTCCTACTCCGAGTCTAAGGTTCCTATGTGCATGACATTATGAAAGTAATATAACTGATCTCAGGCTGTTCTGCTAGCAGTATTTGAAGTCCCTTTAACTATTAACAATGTTGATTTGATGATTTGAGGATCTACAGCCGAGTGATACACAAATAAGATACATATTTGTTAATAGTTAGGGTACTTGAATGTATTTTTAAGATTTAACTTCTGAGTTTAGTGTCTCTTTGATACTTTTAAAGTGAAACTATAGTCTTTTCAATGCATTTTTCAATACACATATAGATGTGATAATGATTTGCCTATAGTAAGTAATGTTATAAATGTGTTTTAAAGGCATATTCTATTATATATTATATTATACGCCTTTTGCAAAAAAATAATAAATGTACCAACATTAAGAAAATAAAAAAGGTGCATTGGTTACATTTTTGCATTGGAGCCTGCAAAGCTTTGCAACCCTGATCAGTGGTTTGCGGATGCAATCTACAGCCTACTCTAGACTATTCCGCTAGCGCCGAGTCCGTACTGAGGTATGGACCTTCTGCTATTGGGCTGGAGGAAGTAATCGATGGACTACAAGTGCAGCGGTGTCACTGCATTTGTGCTCGATCTACGAGTCCCCTGCTGCAGTATTGAGTGAATAATCTTTTCTTAAATCAAGGCCAAGTCCAGACCTGAATTAGAGAAGAGACCAAATGTGTTAATTAGCAAACAAGATTTTAATGAAACTTGACGTGCATGGGGACTTTTTACTAGTGTGGACTGTTTTTGTGGAGGGATCTCACCTACTCTATGAATGCATTGTAACTGTATCGGAATCCTGTTGTTTAAATTTGAAGTATCTAATATTCTATCTATGCAGGGTGCCTGGGTGACACACAGTTCACCTTTCGAATGCGTCGCTCTGCAGGGCAGAGAAGCTTATTTCAAGAGAATGAAAAATACAATAGAGAAGCTCCTGTTACATTACAGGTGAGTTCAAACACGGTGTTCAATAACAGTAAAACATGAAATGTTCATTTGAGGCCTTTGCCTGCAGCCAAGTAAAGCCTTTTTCATAAACGTATAATACTGTTCACATGGCGTGCATGGCAATACTAGTATTTATAACATTTTTGTTCTCTTTTACCTGCACCTCTCACAAGAACATCTAATCAATGCAGATGTCTAATCCACCCTTTCTCAACCAGGGGGCCTGCTGGCCTCCTCAGCGATGTCTTGAAATATTCACATAGTGTCATGCCTCTGATATGGAGAGGGGGCTCCTGTTGTGAAAGTGGGAGCTTCTAATATAACAATGAGCTCCTAGTGTGATAGGGAGACGCCTTAAGAAAAGTGGGGCTCTGATGTGAAGGAGGATCCTAATATGAAGGGGGGACTGATGTGAAGGGGGAACCACCTTTTTTTGCATAGCGTTTCCCCTTAAAATCCATATCTTGGATAAGGGTCTGGTATGGATATTGAAGGGACAGCACATCGTGGTTTACATTTACAGTTTTTGGATTTAAACTGGGGTGCCTCGAGACTTTGAATACTTTTAAAGGGGGCCGTGACTGAGAAAAGTTTGAGAAACTTTGGTCTAATCAAATAAATCTCAAGGCATATGAAAGACACAATTTTTTTTTCTTCTTAGAATAAAACTCAAATATCCATTCAGGCACATAGATGGGATCTTAATCCACTTCGATATTCACAACCCTAAGTAGTCTCAATCTGGACACATAATAAGATGACATTTGTATCTGTGATATAAGCAAGCCATGTAAAGCACCGGTTATCCCAAGTTACTTGGGATCCAAGGTTATAGAGCTAGCCAGCGGGGCAATTCATATTAGGCTCAACCGTCCAATAAAAACAAATGATGAATATTTGAATTCTATGCAAAAAAAAAGAGAAAAAACGAATGTGTGGCCTTTTTATATGCCTGGGGATTTATTTTCAGTTTGTATATTATGTATAGGTATTGTATATTGAGTGCAGGACTCTGGTTTTAACAATGTACTTTATGTGAAATAAAATGTGTCTACTTTCATACATACCTTTTTGTATATTGGTAGATCTTTATGTGAAAGGTACTGGTATTAGAGAGCAATGATGTTATAAATAACATTAAAACATTCTTACTTAACACAAGGAGGGTGTAATTGTGAGTAAGTATAATTGTATAAAAAGAAAAGGATTAAATGAAAAATGTTATAAAATCTTATATACTGTGTGTGTGTGTGTGTGTACAGCACGTATAAAATGTGTAAAATATATCATATTTAAAGACCAACTCCAAGCTCGGCTGTCCAGTGCCCTTCTCCCCCCACCTTCTTCCAAAGTATCCTCTTCATCTTTTTATCTTTTCCAGTGGTGGCAATCTTAAAAGATGCAGAGCAATGTCAGTAGCCCACTCTGCATCATTACACTGGAAATAAAGGGTTTCATGGTGAGGGGGAAGGCACATAGTGCCCTGTACTGACCGTATCTCCTCAGTCTACTGTGCTGAGTGATACTGGGCATCATTCAACCTGGAAAACCAGGGATGTCTTGTGGACAAAAAGAAGTACTATGGGAGACTGCTCCGGATTGATGACGAATATTGCAACCTGGGCTGATTTTTTTTTTTTTTTTTTTTTTTTTTTTTTTAATGACCACTGGGGGTTTTCTTTTTAAATAAAATCTGGCTGGAGTTGGCCTTTAAACATAGATAAGGGGTACTCAAAATGAATGTATACTTGTACATGGGATAATTAAGTGACCAACTTTTGGAATAAGCCTAGTATTATGAGGCTGTAGTTACATTATCATGCATATGGGTAACATATGCCTGACATTTCTATCAAAATTCAAATAATGGCCTTAAACTGGTCACACACAATACAACATAATTGTACTATCCCATTCTATTCACTAACAATTATGTAGTGCAAGGGTCTCCTTGATTGATATAAACTGCATAAAAATGCAGCCCCCACAACACCTGGCTGCAACCACCTCAGGCTGCCTCATTGTAGGGATGGCCCTTATCCTACCCTTGTAGTAACATGTTCTTATTATATTCTTTCAGAGAGATCCAGCCCACTACTATGGATATGTGTATTTCAGGCAAGTGAGAGACAGCTCTGTGAAAAGAGGTTACTTCCAAAAGGTAAATGTATATAAGAGACATTAAAGTGAAACTCTGGTTTTGTTGAGAAAAGCAGTCCCCTCTTGGTGAACTATAAACACTGCAAGGATTTTAGCAAGGCTTCTTGCAGATTTATAACATGTTCTGCTCTAAAGATACTGATGATTGTCTTACCCTGTCTTTTGCCAAATTGTCAGGGTCAGCAGGAGGGTCTACCTTCAGCAACAGTGCTTGAGACATCTCATATGAAAAGTTGTACCATATGCATTCCTTTAGCTGGTAGTCTCAGAAAGTATCTCGGCAAAACTTGCACTTCCACTACTGTGCAGCACTCCGAGAAAAAGAGTGAGCCAATAAAACAAGCAGGCAATTGGGTTTCTGGGGAAGTCCGGTACACAAACGGTGTACGGCACGTCTCCTGTTTTTCATGTTTCAAAGAAGCAATTTCTGGTATGTTTAGGAAATTACAGTAGGTGTGGACTAAAATGGAAAAGTAATTTTAATAAGATGAATTTACATAAAGGCTTTTGAGTACCTAAAGAGGATCTTTACCCATATCTTTGAAATTGCAACAAATATGCCTTTAGAAATGTTTAATAATAACAATCTACAAACGGACGCTTCAAGATAATTTACGTCCTTTTTATTCTTTGTGTACCCTTTTTTTCTTTTCCTCCCCATTCTTCTCATTGTGGCCATTTTTACTAAGGGCAGATTAACATATCTCCCTTTACTTCCTGGAACTCTGGCACATGTGACTAGGGCATGTGACCTTGCACATCATCTCAGGGGAGGAAAATGCCTTTCCCTGAGATCTCCTGAGATTACAGATGAGATTTCCCAGCAATGCTCTGCTGATGTAATCTTCCCAGGTTGCAATGCTTGGGCACATTACATCACTAATGCTCAAGAGGACCAGAGAGTGGGAAAAACAATAATTGTAAGTGAAATAAATTGTTTGGTTAACTACTGAATGTAAGATGATTTCATATCCACATGCAGAGCTGAATGCTGATGTGATGTTTAGTTAAAGTTACTGAAAAATGGCCTGGATGGGAAGGGGGTTTAACACCGCGGATGTCAACTGGTTAAATGTTATATAATTTTTTATATTGAATATACAGGTTTTTATTTTTTTAGGGGTAAGTAGCAAACATTGCTTAAAACAGTATAATGTAATGATTTAATGTGAAACTATTTAAGATGCTCTTAAGCTGGCCATACACCAGTAGAATTTTGGTTAAAAAAAAAATTTTTTTGGAATGTTCACTCGATTTTTCTAATAATTAATGGGGTCAAATTGATGATCGATTCTGACCAGAGTAACGAACTAATCAATGGAGCAGAATGGAAGATTTTTGTTGAACCAACAAAATTCTAATAGTGAATGTGATTTTATTCTCCATTCATTCCTAAACCAAATGTTAAAACTAATCAAACTTTTGTCGGAAGTTGTCAAGGTTTTGAAGGTGTTATGAAATGTTCTGCTGAGATTTTTCGGACATGATTTTTCAGATGAACATTCGTATGATAACCTACCAGTGTATGTCATCCCTTAGTAAATATTCAGCTTAAACTTTTTCCACACATCAGTTATTACTGGAAAAGGAAGCCAGGAATACCGACAGGTGACATATCTACTTTATCCATCAGTATGCCTACACTGTAAGTGGTGATACACTGATATAGTGGGTGATTGTAACGGCATTAGATCATCTGATGGCTGATTATCTGCAGTCGTTGCATGCCACATTTGGATCATTTAATGGCATTTACTGTACATTGTTATGCATGAAGATATACTTGGAGGTGGTCTATTAGCTTTGCAAAAATGTAGATACATTTTAATTGCAGTTGGCATTTCTTTAACCTCCTGATGAAATAAAAGTAGAAAGTTTTTGTCTTAATCACTTTTACATTTTTGCATTATTTTTGGAAAATGTATCATAAGCAATTAAGCCATTCATATCTTGTCATGCTAGGCACACTCATGCTAGGCTAGATCCCACTACTATCTTTTGTTGTGCATTACACTTTTTAGCAGTGTATTACACACCACAGGAAAGCTAGTAAACACTGACCTGTAGATGCTATAAGGTTCTTTACCCCATGCTCCTAGCATTATATTGGTACTTGAATTAATTTTTATACATACGGGTGAAACTCGAATAATTAGAATATCGTGCAAAGTTCATTTATTTCACTAATGCAACTTAAAAGGTGAAACTAATATATGAGATAGACTCATTACATGCAAAGCAAGATAATTCAAGCCGTGATTTGTCATAATTGTGATGATTATGGCTTACAGCTCATGAAAACCCCAAGAACCCCAAATCCACAACCTCAAAAAAGTAGATTATTACATGCAATCAATAAAACAAGGATTGTACATAGAACAATATCGTACCTCTGAAAAGTACAAGCATGCATATGTACTCAGTACTTGGTTTGGACCCCTTTTGCAGCACTTACTGCAATTACTTTTGCACGATATTCTAATTATTCGAGTTTCACCTGTATATGTGACTTTTTCCCTTTTCAGTCTCTAGTTCTTCTTTCAAGTTTGCCATATACCAATCTGTTCCACACACTTCTGCAACTGATTGCACCTGAATACTTTAACAAACTGGAGCCTTGTCTTGAAGCTGGTAAGAATCTGAATGATTATTTTTTTCATAGTATGTTGCTTTTTTTGTGCTTAGGGGGCATTGGTGGTAGTTGTCAGGCCAAAGTTTTTGTTCTCAAAACAAGTGAAACAAACGGTTTGCCTAAATGGCCGTTACACCCCCTGTCTACTGTCAAGATTGACTGTTAACCTAATCCTGGAATTGTACACTGTTTTAAGGGTTCTTCACACCATAGGCAGTGCGTTCTGTTCAGAAATCGGACCGGAACGCACTGCCCGCATAGCGGCCGGCTCCCTTTTTTGCTGGGCAGGAGGGGTTCGTGGCGGGCCATTGAAGTGAATGGCACCATAGCCACGCCCTGCGGCCGTAATGCGATCACCCGTACAGGAATCGCAAGGCACACTGTGCCTGCAGTGCGTTCCGTGCGGTGCGTTCAAAATAGTGCTTGCAGCATTTTGAACGCACCGCATGGAACGAACCCTAAACCTGATGCTTAACCAGACTTTTACTGTTAACCTAATGCCCCAAATTAACCTCAAAACACATGGCTCCAAGGCTATTCTGTCACTGGAGACAACTCAACTGACTTTCTCTTATGCTGCCGGTCACCGCTGGCTTAACCAGCAAGATGTTGCTCTGTTGTTGCTTCGTTGCTAGTGATACAAAATTTGCAGTATTTTGGCAAGGAAGTGACATCTATTAGGTAAAGTGACAGCTGCTCTTCAGTGATGCCAGTGGCAGCACTGCCAGTTTGACATGGGCCTAAAGTGGAACCCCCTAAACCCTAATCTAAACCCCTCTATGTCTTGAACCTAATCCTAACCCCAACCCACAACACTCAGCAAGTGTGCCTGCCAGTGCTGATTATCTCGGCAGTGAAAAACAAGGCCTAACCTCCTTTTATGGCAACAGTTGCAAAATATGGAATGATTTATAATATATTGTAGTGTAAATATGTCTTATGCTGTATGTAAAGTAGTAGTGTAGCCTAGTCCATACTATTTATTATTAAATTCATACCAAAAACACTTATCTTTGAAGGGGTTAAGGCTGTGGAGGAGCAAGCAAGGTTGGGGTTTAATTGATGGGCTTCCTACTTTATCATCAAAACAACTTGGGATGCACTGGCACCGTTTTTTCTGTATCGAGTACGGGTACCAATATCTTTTTCCGGTTCTCGCCGATACCGAGTGCTGATACCGGTGCCATGTTCCCCAATAATCAGGAAGTCGGGCGGCGGATCAGGACCCATCACCTGGCTTCCTGATTGCCTGTGAAGCCTGTGTTCTAGCGAAACATTGGACTTTTGCTCTGCATCCTCATATCTATACACCTTGTATAGAACATAATGCTTTAGGGGACCTTAGACCACTGCAGCAGAGGGGAAGAGATTCTGGAAGGACCGGTCTAAGGACAAGCTGGCTCCATGGTTCATGTGAGTAGAACTTTTTTTTTTTTTAGCACCTAGACAAAAATAAGCAGCTAACCCTATCATTGTGGGGGTAGCCCCACTACAAAGGTTAATCAAAGTTCTTCTATAAGCAAAAACATGAGGATACATATACAATACATATGTGGATGTTAAATGCAGCATTTATCATTTTTTTTTCAGTATGTAACCAGATTGACCGCTGGCCATTTCCAGAGGCGGGACTTTCACTGTCTCTACCAATCATGGGCCTTGTTCTGCAGGTATTATGTCAGTTGCAGCAAAAATAGTAGTAGTGATATCCATCTGTAGGCCCACATGTACTCTTATTGTTCCCCCTACAAGGGCAAATCACAGTTAAGTCTCAACTAGTGTCTTTTGAAATGTATGTAACCCCTAAAAATAAATTGCCCTTATTTGTTCCCGTTTAATCTTCCAAATATACCATTGAAAGCCTTTTGTTATATCTGTTTGATAAGTGCAAACAATACCTGTTGATACTGACAGAAATCATGTGAGCATGAAACTTCCTGTGCTCTCTACCTATGCATTGTTCTGAGACTACAGAACACCTTTCCATATTATAGAGAAGAAGGGAGGAGTTGTTCTGCAGTCCTGTCCTAGTGTGACAACACTGGTCCTATATATATATATATATATATATATAATTAGTATGGTGAGTGAGCATTGTCACCCTAGCACAGGATGTGTATTACTGGTAGGATAACCAAGTAAAAATAAAGGAAAGAGCCTGAAAAATAAAAATAATGCAGTAACCTCTTCTAAGGACTTGTGAGCACTAATATATTACATTTCCATTCTTGGGATTAAAAATGCTTTAAGAAGGATGCAGAGATGTTTTT